TAGTTCCACCATTCACCTGTCAGTGTGCATCTGAGTTGTTTCCACCTTTTGGTATCGTGAATACTGCTGCTGTGGGTCTCTATTTGAATGTGTGTCTTGCAACTGCCCCAGGCCGAGTAAGTTCACGGCTGATTCGGGCAAATGGAAAAGGAATGGTGGAGTATTAGGTACATATCTGATGCTGAATCATGGGACAGAATACACAGGCAGACCACCGGTTGGCCAAGAGGGCCCCACCATCTCTGGCTTCTTGCCCTGGTGTCTGTATTTGTGGGTATGTGCACCTCCAAGCTTCTAGTCCTCAGCCCTTTTGCAATACACAGTATCACCTGTGGGTAGTGGAACCTGGAAGGAAAACAAAGCGCTAGATGGCCATCCCGGAGCCTGGTGGCCGGTGGTCAAAAAGAGCCTGAGTTGGCGAGAAAATAACAAAAATAATGAACAACCATATACCAGAGACGTTTTGCGGGGGTGGAGTGGGGTTACCTCATGTTCCTTACAATGTGCTTCCGTTCTTCTGGACATGTCTTCAGACGTGGGTTGGCTGGATGACATGGCCTATTGATTTTTTCAGCCCGCATGTCTTTTCTCATTTGATCCTGCCCCAGTAGCTGCATGGTAGAGCAGGTTATACCTAGTAGTGGCCAAAGATTCTCTCACTATTGTCACTGAAATTTCGCACTAACAAGCTTCTAAGTAGATGCACAAATAAATAGGTTTGTTTTTCTTTTAGTTTACCTTTACTGATTGCTGTAGGACACACACTATTATTCCATTTGCCTGGAAGGAACATTCTTTCTGGTTAACAGACTGGAACCAAGCATGCCTGGGTGGGAGGGAGATCTTTTTATTGGGATCTGTTCTCAGGGCATCTGGTGTTAAAGGAATTCTAGTAGCTCACGCGAAGTCATGCAAAGCTCAGTAAGAGCTTCGATGAGGAAAGAAGGGTGAGAGGAGGGAGGAGAACACCCACACACACAGGAGCCTTACAGAGAAGTTGAGAACCACATTTCGGTCCTCAGCCCTTTATGATAAACCCCGATGGCTTCCCCTTCTCTGTCCCTCCTGGTAAAAACTTCTCACGTGATGGACTCCCTTCTCAGGCAGGCGGCTCTCCGCAAGCTTGAGATGGTGAAAACGAATTATGCAGATCAGACCATCCGTCTGGGCCTCCCTGGTGGCACAGCTGGTTAAAGCGCAGCACTAAAAAGCTAAAGCCACTTCCGCATGAGTTCGATCCCCGCCTGCCCCGGAGGTGACCACATGGCGCGGCAGACCTCTCCTGACCCGCCCGCTGCTCCCCTCAGCAGTGGACTTCTCAGTTGGCCTGTTCTGCTCTGCACTCTGCCCCTGGAGAATCCTCTCACTGCCCCTGCATCTCTAACCTGTACCCCAATTCTGTATGCATAAATAAATAAATCTTAAAAAAAAAAAAAACAGAGCTGCACTTCTCGTGGGTCGGGATGCCCATGCTTGTAACCGGGAGGCCCTCTTAGCCGTCTCAGCTCCAGTGCACCAGTGCAGGCGAGTTCACGTTGGAAGTCTTTCCTGAAACCGTATAACATGTGCACCCAGTGTTTGTTGTTTTTGTGCTTTGGGATCGCTCACTGTTTGTTTAAAATGATAATGTATGATGGATGGGTGTTTAGCATGCAAAACCATGCAGTGTTCCCAGGGACTCTGGGAATACAATCGGGTACAGCTCTTCAGGTCTCCTGCCCTCCAGCAGAAAGCTGGTGTTCATTATGCAATTAGAAAAAAGAAAGGCCCCAGGGAAGGTAATTCTTAGCTGCACAGGTATTTCAATGAAGCATGCCCATCCTGGTCCTCGGTCTCCCCACAGCTCTGTAGCCTTTTGTCCAGTGGCTTCCTTATCACTGAATTTCATACAAAGACAAATGAATGGTTTCTTTTGAGGCAACTGTGTGGACAGTCCGAGCCCTTGAAATGCTCAAAAGGTGAGGATGCCCTTAGAACTTCTCTCGGATGTAGGGAGAGGAATTACAAAGACTCAGTTGTTTGCATGAACTTTAAAATGCCACTGGACCTCTCAGAGGCGCTGTCCATCTTAGATGTGCCTTTTAAATAGAAACAGACAAACAGAACCAGATGTTTCAATGCGGTGTTACGCTTGAGACTTGAGTATCAAAAACACATGGCTTGCCTCCATCCAGCTTCCTAAGGACTCACTCGAGCCTCAGACCATCCAATGCACAGTTCTTCCTCTTACAGTTTTCTGTAGGGCAGCCTCAAGTAATACAGTAAGAAATAACCGTAAAATTTTAATGAATACTCTAGTAAGCCAGCTCTTTATGGCCGTTAGGAACTTGGACATTCTCTCTCTCTCTCTCTCTCTCTCTCTTTTTTACATTTCTCTCTTTTTTTTTCCTTCAGATTTATTTATGCATACAAGAATGGGGGTACCGGCCATAGGTGCTGGGGGGTAAGAGGCTTCACCAGAGACAGAGTGGGGAACAGAACAGGCAGATGGACTGAAACACACTGCTGAGGGGAGCAGCGGGCGAGCCAGGAGAGGTCTGCAGCCACAGCAGCATGAGGTCGATCCTGGAACTTGGACATTCTTAAAGCATGAGCAATTAGACAGGGTTTGAGTTTCTCGGAATGTGAAATATGAGAAATCATCATCAACATACACTGATACCCCGAAGGACTTCTCTTGTCATGTAAAATTATCTGGTGGGAGATGTTGGGAAATTGTGTCTAATGAGGAAACTATGGACATTGTCACATGTCATTTATATCAGTGACTTGTGTATATGTGTGTACATACGTATATGTGTGTACATACTTAGGTGTGTGCTGAAAAGGATTCAAAATGAGCTGTATTGTGGACAAGTGCAGACAGGTAAATGGATCCTTTGCAGGGGTCTTTTAGCAGTTCCGCTGAAGTCTGTTTCAGAAGCACCCTCCCCCCCCCCCCCC